GAAATGTCAGGAAGAAATTCTTTACTGTGAGGGTGGTGAGACATGGGAACAGGTTGCCCAGAGGAGCTGTAGATACTCCATCTCTGGAAGTGTTCAAGACCAGGCTGGACAGGGCTTTGAGCAGTCTGGTCTAGAAGGAGGTGTCCCTGCCCATGGCAGGGGCACTGAAATTAGATCTTCTTTAAGGCCTCTTCCAAGCCAAACTATTCTATATTCTACATGCATTATATGTTACAGGGCTCTAAGAGAGAAGTGAACTTTCAGAAAAGGAATATAAAATAACTAGACTTCAGAAGAATTCGGTTATTAAGATCTGCCTGTAAAGGTGAGAATTTTATATTCCCCTTTTTCTAATACGGAGGTTGCATAGTGGGAGAAAAGGAATATCTATAGCATATTTATAAGCAAGGTGGCTTTCTGAAAAGCCCTCTCAGTTCAGATGGGAACCCTCATCAAGCTCAGCAGAGGCCACTTGGCAAGAGAATGCCAGTAATCGCTTTGTCCAGATGATTTAAATCCTTATCCCATTGTTTTCAGTGTGCTCCCCACCTAGTATGGACTGTCTGCTCTACTGCTAGCCTCTACTACAGTCTGAAGTAGGTGTGGATATGGCTAAGGTGTCATACTGCCTGCTTCATCTCAGTGCAGTCTATCACCATTTTTCTTATTATAATCAGGAATAGTATTCCAAAAACTTCCTACCATTGCTAGCCCATCAATCTTGGAAGAGCGATAAATGCAATGAGGAAGAAATCATGCATAAATTGCAACAGGATTAGAGAAATTCTAATCACCTTCTGTGCTTTATTCCTGTACAGCAAAATAACACCTGAAAAAACTTCCTTCCAGTCAGATACCACAGGAACAAATGATCATGGAAGCATCCATTGTGATTAGTGACTGGGATAATGTTTTGTTAACTTCTCAAGAGTGACTGTTCAGACATCATTGTACATTTACTGACCAATCTGTGTGAAAAAGAAAGATTACCAGGAAGAAATAAATCAATCTAGAAGCCCTGTACATAGCCCTTATCTCCTTTGGCCTCACCACTCCCTCCATTCCTTAGTGATTTAGTACATGTACCATATAAATGATAATTTTTAAAAAACCCTATCATGTCTAGATAATTTTAAGAAATATCCTTTTGACTGCCTTTCCTGAAGCTATGCATCTATGATATTTTATTTCTGGCACAGAGAGTATAAAAATTTCTGTATTGGAAAAAAAAACAGAAAAATAAACATTGTTAGGCTAAAGCTAATTAGTGACCTAGGAGTATCACTGAGTATCTGCTGAGGTGTTAACCTATCTGGTCAGCTGAGCCCTTGTATAGGTTACTCCAGACCCATTTGAATGATCTAAGGTTTACAGGACAGACAGCTTTCAGAGGCAGTTGTCAGGTAAGCATTCAGTACTTCAAAGCTTGTCTAAATAACAGATCTGACCCATAAATAATTTAAATAAAAACACCAAAGACATGATCTGGTCACTATTAGAATTGCCAAGAAATCAAAGGCTGGTCAGATGAACAAGGAAATTATTTTGTATAAATCATTCTTCAGTTCAAAGTCCAGACGAAGACTTCTGCATTCTCTTTAGCTGGTCTTGTTTATGTCAACTATTCAAATGATCTTTTTCTTTTTCACAAATATGGAGCTAACTAGCTGTATCTTTAATTATTTCACTTTCTTTTAAATAAATAGAAACAATCTTTTAAATCTTTATTGGTTGTAGGGGTGTTTTGGCAGGACATATAATCTTAAAATACTGTTATATATGAGAACAGTTATTCACTAGTAGGGATAAAATTAAAACTATCTAAAAGCATAGCCACTGCATTGTTCAGTTGATAAGGTCCATGTTGCTAAATTGGTCTTGTCTTTGCCAAACAGCTGCACAAAATCAGAACTTTTTGTCCTTTTAAAATTATCTCTTATCTGTTTGAAAATGCACTTTTCAAAAAGAGAAAACCTTTAGGAAAGGCAATGGACATTGCAGATACTCATGACAAGATCTACAAAGCCAGTGGAGAGTCCATTCAATTCCCAGTGGGAATTGCCCTGCAGTATTTGAAAGTGAATTAAATATTTTCTTTAGATTTACAAGCACAGATTTCTTCAGAATGGCTGCCACAGAAGTAGCAAATTACTTTTCCTGTTAACACCTGAATGAAAAAGACAATGATCTCATACTTGTACAAGGCTGAGTGCTATCTTACACAACAAATGGATCTTCATGAAGACCATAGCAGTGGTTTTGACTTTCTATACAGGCTTCAAACCCCTGTGTCTCTCTTACAAAGAAGGCTGAGGGAACTGGGCCTGTTTGCTGTGAGATGACTGAGAAAGGACTTCAATGTTTACAGTCTCTGAAGGAAGGTTTTTCAGGGGCTTTTCTCAGCAGTGCCAGGCAACAGGACAAGAGGCAGCAGGCAGAAACAAATGCACAGGAAATTCCATGTGAACACCAAGAAGAATTTCACTGTGAGTGTGCCTGAGCGCTGGAATAGATTGCCCAAAGAGGCCATGGAGTCTCCCTCGTTGGGGATAGTCAAAAACTGTCTCACACAATCCTGTGCAATGTGCTCTGGGATGACAGAGCAGGGAGGTTGGACCAGATGACCACTGTGACCTCCTCTGAACTGACCCATCCTGTGCTTATGTGTTCCAACAGCACAGGATCTGGATTTTGTTAATAATATGATATGGACATGATAATGAATAGAATGATTCGAATTATATGAGTAGAACAGAACAACATTTTACTCTTATCAAGGACAGAAGAACAGAATAGTACAGCCTTGGAGAAATAGATAAAGGATTCAACTTTGGCAAATAGAACCCATGCAAATCAGAAGCAGGATGTCAGCTCAGCTCTGCCAGGCTGACAAAGGTGAAGTTACTCAAAAAAATTATATTGCACTTACGCAAAAGTGGGGCTTGAGGAATAGTCACCTAAAAAGGACACGGGGTATTGAAGACAGACCCCAAGGAACCTATCAGGAGTTTTGATAAGGGATGAGACATGTAAAATAAAGTAAAACATATACATCCAGTAAGGGGGGGGGAGGGGGGATAGCTAATGAATATGTGATCATTCTTGTATGATAAACACCTTGTTTACCTGACACTCAGACATTTGATTAGAGACAGGATCCTCCAACTGCCCAGCAATTGCAGCAAAGAATGCCTGCTCTGCAATACTCAAAACCATGTTAGAAAGTTTCTATGCAGCTGACTGTGGTATCACAATGTTCCATAATTTAATTTTCATTATCTTCAATTAAAAAAAACTTACAAACTAAAAAAGCTATGGATTCTTGATTTTCAATAGAGTATCATCAGTTCACAGATGAAAGACATTTGTGCTTTACTGAAATCAAAAAAGTGTAGCCACTGAAAATAGGCTTACTTGTCTAGCCAGCTTACAAAAAAAATCTTGTAAATCGTTGTCCTTTCAAAGCTGAAATGAGAACAAGATTAAAAATAGAACACATTTCAAAAATAATTGTAGTTGAGGGGCATGTTATACATTAACATTCCCTTCAACATCACCTTAATCTCTCATTTGTCTGTCTAGTTTTCTTTCACTGACTTCATGACTTAGATGAAATCTCATCTATCTTCCCAATGAAATGAAAAGATGAAATCTTGGCAGAGTCAGCAGTTTTTCCTTTTAAAAGCAGTAAACACTGCTTTTTACCCCACCAAAATATTTTAAAATAACAGACTGAATATTATGATGCATAGAGAATAGAGACACACATCAACAGAAGTTGTTTCAAATAACTGAGAGATGGAACTTTACCTATATCCCATTGCATTATCCCATCTTAGAGAGCCAAGGAAAAACCCAAATCTTTGAAGAAACGTCTACAGAATCCAGGGTGAAGATTCAATGTAAACATTAGCACAGCACATAAGATTCCTCTCTTACAAATCTACTTCCTGCTATTTAAGTCAATGCAACATCAAAGATACATTACAGGTACAGTCTTGGAGAATCAGCAATTTAAGATGACACAATAATGTCACTTGGTATGCAGGGGGAAGTTAAAGAAAGGATTAAAACCAGTCAGGCACGATTTATTAAAGGAATCCATGACTAATGGGGTGTGACAGCAAAGGGTTTCATTCTTTTCAACAGAAAAGACCCCTAGGGCTTGAAGTATTAGTCTACTATGCCTTTATCACCTTGGAATTTTTATGGTTATTTTTGATGAATTCACATTTTCATAATTACCTTTTTGGCATTAAGCCAATTTTAACTTTTAATTAAATTCATAAATAACCTTAATTTTTCATTAAAAGATTTGTTTTTCTTATTTTTCATTATTATTACTGCCAGAAAATATTTCAAATACCAAAGCATAATGTTAGTTAGTAATTATAACTTCACAAAGCTCCAGTAACTACCTATGTTGTACTTTGTAAACATTATACTAGTGATTAGTAGGAGCTATGATGAAAAATGCTCAAAAAAAACCTCCTTAGGGAACAACTCAGCTCTTTAGAAATGGACTTATACATATAAACAGTTGATGACTCATGGACTTGACATCCACAGGGAATCAGCATTGTGAAATATCTTGGTATTATTGGAAATATCTGGAATATAGAAATACAATTTGGAGCTTAGTCCAACATACTGCCCTCAAAATCCATCCTTCTATCTGAGATTGGCCAGTATTTTGTAATACTGTGTATTTACCAAGTAGCAGAATTTGAAATTAAGAATTTATGCTTGTAAAAATTATTTTTACTTGAGTTGTTGTGTTCATTCAGTGATTAACCATTACAGCAGAATACATAAAGCATTAAACCATTAAGTCAGAGATGAAATTATGTATATGCAAGCCACACCAATCTATTTGCTCTTTTTTCTAATTTAAAGTCTGAAATAAACCCAAGTACTTGAAGATGCATTGAAACATCTAATATTATAACACTAATTTCTTTACATAATTTTTACACTAGTTAAAACAGCATAAAAATCACCTTTTTCCTGACTTGTTGATCTTTGGAAGAATGGGCTTTCACATGTTTTCTCAGGGAACTTGGATCTGTGTATCGCTTAGAACATCCTGGAATCTCACATGCATAAGGTTTCTAAATAAAAAAAAAAAAAGATAAAGTAACTGTTACATCACAGATTATTTTAACTCAAGAGAATACTTCTTGAGCCTTGGGATGCTGCAAACCACATTGCTACAGAACAATGACATTGTACATTATTACATGCAGAAAGCTTCACAATTTGTTAGAAAAAGAAAGGATGGAGTAAAGCTTTAAAGGAAGATAAACAAAAGGAAAGCTTTCATTACAGCACCTTTCATGATTACCTTTTTTTTTCTTAGTAGTCCAATGAATATTGCTAGATATACTTACAATTCTTCCACCCTCAGAGCAATCTTTGACTTAATCAGATATTACAGTCTTTAGTGAATCAGGTAAAGAAACTGCAGTAAAGGCCCGGAAAGACTTTAGGATTATAGAAGGATCCGCTTCAGAAAAAGAGAACAAGAAAAAGTGTTAGTTTATTATATTACAAAGAAGGCAAGCAAAACCCCAACCAAGCATTGAATACTGAAGTTTTAAAAGTATTACATAAAAAAAATGTATTTTAATGTGAAATACTGACCAACTCCTTCAGCTCACATTTTCTAAGAATACTTCATTTTAGAAAAATACCTGTAAAATATCCTGTAATTTCTTTATAGTTTTCTTGAAAGAATTCCTAATAAATCTAACTCATATCTCATCTTGCCTGTTCTAAGCTGCCTGTCTTACCTGAAGACTTGTAGATTCACAATACTAAGTATTAAATTAACATTAGATCCAACTGTTTCCTGGAAGTAGCTATTCAGCAATTTATTCACTTATGTTCCCCAAAGAATTTCTGAAAACATCTTGTACAGATTATTAACTTGCCAGTCATACTTTTGACTATTCAAAATGGATTTTTTTTTTTTTTTAAGGGCTATTTTATTCAAATGGTATTCTTTTAATCATATTTCTGGACTTCTGCCCTTTGGAAACTGTCTCTGAGAAAACAAAATTTTTTTCTGAAACAGAGGTTTGTTAAATAAATTTCATCCATCACTCAAATTTACACGGGACAATCTGTTGGCACAAAAATTTTTAGATTTACAGTATTATTCTGTCTCTCTTGACTTTCTGGTACATGCCCCATCCTTAACTTTTCATCAAAGAAAAGCACTTTATATTGCAGATTGCTTCAGTTTCCCTAAAGATCAACTAAGCGGGAGAAAGCGACAGCTTCTACCTGCAGCAAAGACCATGGAACCTGTGGTCATTTCATCAACCAGCCTGGGTCCATCTCCTGCATGCTCAAACGACTGGGTCACTTTTGAGGCAGCTTCAACAGTCTCATCAGACGATCACCCCCCTTTCTCTAAGGTTATGGACTACCTGCTGTCACCAAGCTGTAGGAAAGGAGGAGATGGTCTAATGCTCAGGGGGTTGCAATGGGGCTTCTGTGTCCTTACAGTGTCCAAGTGTGTCCTCTGGTGCTTAGCACGGTCGCTGGAGTTGCTGAAAGCTTTCTGGCAGCCAGGGTGCTGGCAAAGGTACGGCTTTTCACCCGTATGGCTCCTTAAGTGAATCTTGAGATTTTCTAGTCTGGAAAAGGCTTTCTTGCAACCCTCAAACTAGAAAAGAGAAAGAAATTATTTGAAAGGAAAGCACACACAGTAAGCTGCAACAGCAAACACCAAACAGAAGGGTAAAAGGGCATGCAGGGATCTCCAGCCTGCTATGGCTGGGTAGCTCTGCAAGGTCTGGCTTCTCACCCTGGGTGTTGCTGCAGGGTTCAAACCATTTAGACTGCAAAAATGTACCTATCCTCCTGTCAAAATAAGATGTAATTCCTGTGGGAAACCAATAGCCATGTGGCATAATCAAGTACTAATCAAGTGCTGCATCTGTGGAGGAAACCTATGTTTATACAAACAGAAAGCAAGTGTTTAATCTATCATGTTCTCATAGTATACTGTAACCTAAGGGAAGCTAAAAGATCCATTGTATTTGACCCCAGCATCTTTATATACGCTTGATTTCAATTAGTCCTAAATATTTATGAATATCAGAAGTATAGGTTTCTAAAATTCTATCCATCAGGATCAATTAATCTCATTAGTTTCAGTTGCTGCATATCCCACTATGCAACATCTAAAACTTCTGATGCATAAGAAACTGCTAGTTTGCAGTTCTTGCATACATGCAAAAATAACAATTGTGTAGTAGAGATGTTTCCAAAGCTAACACAAAAATTTCCATCATTTCACTACCTATTAATTTTATTCACTTAAAAAGAAACAGGCCATTTTTCACTGGTGTCAGAATGACAAAACAAAATTTTATAATATATTATGCAATGCATGTATGTTTACGAAAGCAAAAGTAGAAGAACTGACATAATTCTGGTCATAATTATTATGCCTTTCTTACAAGTCTCTAACACCCTCAAAAAAAAAAAAAAGATTTAAAAAAAGATAAAAATTAAATAGAAAATTTGTATCACTTAATTTTGCATCTTTTGGATTACTGCAAAAAAGCTTTACATGTTCAAAGAGTGTAAAACATTACTTATAAACCAGCAGTATTAAAATTAAGCTTAAGAAATTAAAGCTTGATACAGAGGATGAACTACGCCTGCTATACCATAATTGCAGTTTATCTTTCCTACACATGCACTTCAGAAAATGTCTCCACCCATAAAACTTTTAATTTATATTCCATCCCTTTATCCAAAACAAACCAGTGCTTTTCAGATTATCCATTTTTGATCACTGAACATTATTTTATGCTTATAAATTAGTGTAACCTTTATGTTATGGAGCTTTAGCATGCATACAAAATATTGTTGCCAGTGTAAAAATATTTTTACTCTTAAGAGTTTTACTCTTTCAGAAAATATTACAGAATAAATAAAAAAAATTAAATACACCAATATATCTTAAAATTGCCTTGATAAAAATATCACTTTTTTCCTAGGAAAATCTAAAGAGTAGAGACAGCATAAAAACTTGGGAGCTAAAAGACTTGGAAGGGATCTTAAATATCATTTAGTTCCAAACTCTGCCATGAGTAGGTAGACCTGCTAGAACAGGTTGCACAATGCTCCATCCAGCCTTGGCTTGAACACTTCCAGGGATGAGACAACTTCTCTGGGCAACCTGTGCCAGTCTCACCATACTCACAAAAATAAATGTCTTCCTGACATCTAATAAAACTGTACTCTTTCAGTTTTGAGCCTTCAAAACATGACCTTCAAAAATTAAAATAATTCAAGAGCACCTCTGTTAAAATGAGAAATAAATCTACTGATTACCCTATCTTATACAGGCAAGTTACTGTTTTGTAATAATATCATGAAAGAACAACCATACATTCTAATGACCGTGTGATGTATATAAAAATTATTTTAGTACCTCAAGAAGCCATTAATTTTATAGGGCGAAACTCAGACAAATGAACAAGTTGTAGAAGCATGACTTTGTTTTGCTTATTTCGCAGGTTGTTAAACTTTGAGTTTTCAAGTATACAAATGAACTTAAGTTATTGTTTATACGGCTGTAAAATTACCATTAATTTTAAATGGGCAAAAATGTTTAAGTAAGCAGAACTGGGGAATCTTAACATACGAATTTAATAATTATTATTTCTGAAGACTTCTGCATTGCTGAGTATAAATTGGAAGAAAAGATAATTCTCTCTTCTCTCCACAGCTCTAAAAACTTCTCACATAATATGATTTGGTCCCCCTCTGACTACTTCTGCATTCACCTGGGATACAAAATACATGATCAATATTTCAGTGGTAGACTTATTTAAGTATTAAATAATATAAATAATATTAGGTTAAGTATGCAGGTAACATGGATCAAACTCCCTTTTTCACTTATTCCAGGATCACCCTAGCCTTCTTTAAAGCCATAACATTTTACAGAGGGTTTTGGTTACAGCTGGTCAGATTAAATTTCAATTCAATCTTTTTTCTAGGCATAATTTCTCATATTGTAATAATAAGCTATATGTCTTCATTTCTGCTTACATTTCTTTGCATCTGGCTGACTTATTATGTTCCTTTTAAAAGCAATAATCCAGCAAAATCAATGAGATATCTCTGTCAATGGGATTCTCAATATCTGTAGCTCTGCTAGTCCCTGTTAAAAGTACAAACATTGTTTGACCAGTATTCTGAGAACAAATGAAGTACTCTTCAACTGGAATGTGTCCTTCTAATGAAATTGAATACAAAAAACTTAAAATCATAGAACTATGGATTTTTTTAGGTTGGAAAAGACCCTGCAGATTGAGTCCAGCCATTACCCCAGCACTGCCAAGTCCATGACTAAACCATGTCACCAAAGACCACATCTACAAGTCTTATTATCTCCAGGGATGGTGACTCTACCACTGACATAAGCAGTCTCTTCCAATACTTGACAAATTTTTCAGTGAAGACTTTTTTGCTAATATCGATCTAATCCTTCCCTGGCACAGTTTGGAATTTATTTTCTTTCATCCTAACGCTTGTTACTTGGAAGAAGAGATGGACACCCTCCCCAGAACACTGCACTGACTTATGTAATATATTGATCCATTCTCAGTTTACAACAGAAATTACTGTCCAAGATTGGCTTGACAAGCTCCTTGACTTGCTCACTTTTGTAATATTCATAAACTGACCATAAGCATGACAAGCAAAAGTTTTAAATCTTAAACTTTGAAGGAAGGTATCTTAGTAAAAATATAAGTCATTCCTAGATTTTAGGAAATGCTGTCATACATTAATGCATATGTGCAAATGGAAGGAATGATATTATTCTTAAAAACTAACTAGGAAAAAGTAAATCTAGAGTCGCATATACATAAGATCCCAAAATAAATCCTTGAATTATTCAATAGCCATGCAGCATTTTCTAAGATTCATTAGCAGCTAAAAGGCACATTAATTATTTAACAATGTTCATCTGTCAATTAAGTTTGAATGCTTTGAAATGCTGACCGTGTAAGTTCTGCCAGCACCAAGGCAGGTGGTACGGCAAGGACAAGGTATCTCTCCACAGCTTTGCATTTATCACAAAAAGAAATGTAAAAGCTGTTCCTTATATGGCTTTCAAAAAAATCCCAAGGCATTTCAAGCATTAATTAATAGTCTTTCAATCATTTTCCTTCCCCAATGATATTAGCAGGGTACTGCCCCGCAAAAAAAGTGTTTCCAAAAAAATGAGAGTAAGACTTCACATGAAAACCTTTTAAACAGCTTTTTATACCTCTAGACTCTCCAGCCTGGCAATCTTGTGAATGGCACATAATTAGTGCCAGACATCCTTCAAACTGCTGACATCAGGTGCTCACTGACAAGGAGGCTGCAGACACAGCTGATATTTAAAGGCCCAGGTTCATCTAAAGTAAAGTGAATGTTGTGCTTTTAACCTTTGAAGTGTTTAAATGGGGGAAAATGTAGCATTCAGAGCAGCACTTCACCTTAGTGCCTATCTGGACAGAACACATTGTCAATGCAGTATCTGAATGCTTTGATGAATGCACTAGCTTATGTAAGGTCATATATTTTCCTCAAAACCATGCAAACGCTGGCATTTATTTTTGGCTTTTATAATTAGGCCTATGAAATTATACAATGTCTTCTTTGTAATTTATTGTTCCAGTAAATAATGATAGATTATGTTTATATATGTTACACTGATTATAGTAGATATTTCTTTTCCCAGTCTTTCAATTAAAATTTGGTCCATAGGTAATTAGTCTCTTTTTCATTCCTCTTAAAAAAAAAAGGTTCCCAAAAAAGGTTCCCTTCACCTGCAATATCCTCATTTCATCTTTTTCTGGTAGATTCCTTAAGATTTTATGATCCAGCATGCATAAATATAAATGTGAACAAAAGATAATTACAGGCCATGACAAAATCTAAAATAATTCGTTATTTCACTTAATTGTGCTTCCTACCTTAAGTTAAAAGGCTTATTATACTCAATAGATGTAGAATAAAGTTCATATGATTAGTCAGATGTAAGACTTATGTGACTAGTGAGTGCATACAGCTATAAGGCTCACATTTTAAGAGCTTCTGACTAAGCAGCACATAATGCTTTTTTTTGTGTGTGTATAGGGATTGAACAAGATTAATAGACTATATCCTAATCTGACTTCCGTTTTCCAAGGCATCCAACTCTTTAGGCATTTTTAAGAAGAGATATATGCTGCTATACAGGCAATGAAAACAATGGAAAAGAGTCTATATCAGTACAAATCAAAAATCTACACATTGTTTCATGTGGGAAAATGAGTCATGCTACTTTTTGAGACAGATGCACATGAGAGGCTAGTTTCTTGATTCCCTTTGAACAATTCTCACTTTTTTGGTCATACTGCACACACTTGACTATTTTTGTATACAGACAGATTACTTGAGTGTCTCAATAATATTTACTTTTAATCTTCTTTCCAGGGAGATTGGTATTCTGATGTCAGTTCTGTTAGGACAGTGGACAAAGGATGGCTTCAAATTGCAGCGCAAGAAGAGGTATGTGAGTAAGTAACTGCCCCTGCCTACCACATTATTTCATTGTGAAAACTTTCTTTGCAGATGGCTTTTTTATTCTTGTATTTTTGGTAAATATAG